AGAGAGTAATGTGGAAATCATCTGCCCCATAGGTCGGGGGAGAGAGTGGGATTGGTGTATACTGAGGTTGTTGGGGGTGGAGAATGGGCACTGGTGAATGTACAGTGTTTCATTGTATGACCAAGACTTAGACCCGAAAGCTTTGTAACTGCTCTCATGGTTATTCAATAAATAAAATTATAAAAAATGAAAAAAAAGTAAGGTGGAGCTCATGCACAATTCAATCAGCTAATCAGTGGCTGAATAAATAGCAGTACTCCTACATAAAAAAAAATTCTTCTCTTCTGATTTGGAAATCTCGTTTCCTTTTTTATGGAAGCATTTTTATTTTTATGTCTAATACAGAAAGTAATTTTAAAACGAAGCCAATAAATTACATAATATTATTTGCTTTTCAATAAATGAATTACTGAGCTTTGCAATCTGAGATTTCTCAATGGATCTTCACCTATTGTCAAGGACAACTTGTGACATTGCGGTGTAGTTTTTAATAATGATTTTTGTTTTCTTTACTGTAGACTACAAAATGAAATAATGTAATGTAACATAAGTTTTTAGGAAAAAAAAACAATACCAGAGAGAGTTTAATTGAGTCTTTTGTTTAATATTAAATAGAGAAAATGGGTGCCTTTAGGTTCAGCCCTCTTAAAAAATATCATAATAACTGGGAAATATTCCAAGAAAAACATGGGGTAATGGCATAAAATAACTTTGCCAAATAACCTGAGGCCAGCCACAGCTGCCTCTACTAGTTCCTACTCTTTCATAAGAACCCAAAGTCATTAATTGCTCCCCTTACCCCTGTTTATGTATGTAGCACTGACAATGAACCGGCATTGTTCTAAACACTTTATAAATGCTCTGAATTCTTCTCTCGGACTAATATCCTCATCCTATTATGACGTTTTCTAGGTAAGCAAACTGCAGGACTGAGAGTTAGAACGATTTGTTTGGACCAGGTCATGACACTTCAGAATGCTTTGCTTTGTCACTGCTGTCAGACTTCAGCAATGACTAGTTCCAATGACAACGCGTGTTCGGATGAGAGCAATTCGCTTCTCCTAATGCCTAAGAAGGCTGAGCCACAGAGTGTAAGAACCGTTTGCTAGCCTCCAACTTTCAGGCAGAGCACAGGAAAAGTCATTGCTGAAGGTCTAAAGGCTTTTTCCTCAATGGAGAAGCCTGTTTTCTCTCTTCAACACAGTCTTTTTCTTCTCCTTCTCCTTCTTCTCCTCCTCCTTCTCCTTCTTCTTCTTTCTCTTCTCTACAACATGGAAAGCCTATAGTTGCTGGAAAGGCACAGAAAGTATAAATATTTTCAATGTCACCAAATGAAAATTCACAGGGTTAGAGCAACAGTACAGGGGGTAGGGCACTTGCCTTGCAAGTGGCTGACCTGGGTTCGATTCCCGGCAGGGGATGCTCCTGGCTCTGCACTAGGGAATCACTCCCGGCAGTGCTTCAGGATGCTAAGATCCAGTCCAGCCCTGATCGGCCATGTGCAAAGCAAACGTCGTGCTCTCAGACTATTGCTCCAGCCTCCACACTCATCAAGTATATTTCTATACAAGATGTCCTCTAAATTTATCATTTACACGACCAGGCTATTCTCCAGATGGCATCACTGAGGTCTTGGGGGAAGTGAAATGACAAATTTCCAAAATTAGTAATAAAATTTTTCGATGACTTGGCAGAAATTCAAATTCACAGGAAGAAAGAAAGAAAAGAAGAAAGAAAGGAAGAAGAAGAAGAAGAAGAAGAAGAAGAAGAAGAAGAAGAAGAAAAAGAAGAAGAAGAAGAAGAGAAGGAGGAGGAGGAGGAGGAGGAGGAAGAGGAAAGAAAGAAAGAAAGAAAGAAAGAAAGAAAGAAAGAAAGAAAGAAAGAAAGAACAAAGAACAAGGAAATTCAAACTTCCTGTCTAATACCTGCATCCAATTTCTGGCTAAATAGGCAATTAAACTGTGTGATGGTGTGCGAGGGAGGTACGAGGCTGCTATAGGAGTTGCAAGGAGTAGGAGTTACTATAAACAGCAGGAGGCTTGATCATTTTGTTAAATTTCCAAAGTGATCTAGAACTGGTTTAGCTTTTCCTCTCTCCACTGAAAGAGGAAGCCCTGAAGCATGGTGGTAGTTGCCTATGTTTAAGTCCAGCTCTATCTTTTATTATACTGTGACCTCAGCTTAGTCCTTCAAATCTCTTCATCCTTATTTTTCTGTTTAGAGGCATCACAGCTGCACCAGCTGCTCAAGGTTATCGAAAGGATGAAGTGAACTGTGTGTGTATGAGAAGTACTTAGCTTTCTGCCCTGCCAGGGGTGTTCTCAGGACATCCCGAAAGGGCCCTCCTCCTTCCCTTTTTAAAATACCATTTCAACTGCTGGAAAGGCAACACGGAAGGAGGATACACTACCTTGTAAAAAAAAAAAATTTAAACTCTCCCAGTGAAAAGCAAATACTCATTCAGAAAACCTTTTGCATATAGTTATATTAGTGTTAATAATAATTCAGAGTTGATCAGTCTATCAAGGCCTAACATCATTCACCCCAATCCTACAGAGTACTTAGTTACATGTCGGCTTTAAGTAAAGGGAACGTGTTGGGGAAAGTGAGGCCACATACACGGGAAGGATTCAACAACGTCCACCCCAAACCACCTTCTTTCACTAGGTCTTTCACTTGGTCAACTTAGTGGCTCAAAACCAACCAGTTTTTACTGGTGAGGGGGTTGGTATGGAAACATTGTATCCTGAAACCCCATCATGAATAAATTTGTAATTCATGGTAAATTGGTAAAAAAAAAAAAAATGTTTACTCCATTTTGGAAAGCCAGTCTCCATGTCTCCATTTTGTGCCTTAGTAAGAAAAACATGCCAGCCCCCGAGGGCTGGCATAAGTGCTCAAAGTTTTGGGCAGATAACAAGGATTACTCAAGTCAATGGAACAAGATGTGTGAACCTCTGTGGTTCGCTTCTGTACACTCCACTTGCTTGCTCAAGGCCCTGCGGGTGGCAGGCGGCACCAGGCACTTGGCAGCAGGGCACTGTAGCCCTGTAGCACTGTCCTCCCGCTGTTCATCGATTTGCTCTAGCTGGCCCAGTAACGTCTCCATTGTGAGACTTGTTGTTATTATGTTTGGCATATCGAATACGTCACGGGGAGCTTGCCAGCCTTTGCCATGCGGGTGAGATACTCTCGGTAGCTTACGGGGCTCTCCAAGAGGGACGGAGGAATCGAACCCGGGTAGGCCACGTGCAAGGCAAACGCCCTACGTCGGTGCTAGGTAGGAGGGCAGAGGGTTTAAAAACCCACTGCGATCAGGGTCCCAAGGCTGGTTAACCCTCAGTGCTGACTCCCTTGTATGTGTGTGTTTTGGTGTGTGAATAAAACCTTGACATTATCAGCGGGTGGTTGAGCCACTTAACATTTGGGGGCCCCACCAAGCCCTCCAGCCTCTTAATAACTGCAGAGCCAGCTCCCAGTTAAGCACAGAAGTCACACTCTCTGGGACACCTTTTGAAATGTAAACAAGCTCCAACACCAGGAGTTCACAGTTACAAGTTGACTTGTTTTGGGAACTTTTATCATTCTAATATTTTACTGCTTTATAAAATAGGAATATAACTATTTTTTTTTCCTCTACTCCCCCGAATTTTTTTTTTCTTTTGGAAAATCAAACGAGACCATCTATGTTGGGAACAGTCTGGAAACTGGAACTTTACAAATAATTGTACAATATATTGTAAACTTGGAGGGAGAGAAAGACGCGGCTGACATTCACAGTTGTAAAGAAGGTGACAGAGGGCCATTGCCAGAGCCCACCACTGTCCTGCGTCACCCAAACAAGAGCTGAGCTGTAGGTCAGAGGGACACAAGGAGGAGCCATTTGTGAGCTTAGATTTTTCGGGACCTTCCTGTCTCCTAACTATAACTATAAAGGATGGCCATCGGTTATCGACGCGGCAGAATCTCTATCCAACCGCTGCAGAACAAGCTCCAAAGTCCAGATTTGATTATTGTCGGCGATCAAGTTGAAAAAAAAATATGCATGCATCAGTGATTAACCTCTTCCTGCAGACAAAGGCTGGAGTTTAGCTCTTCTCTTTCAGGGACCAAACCCACAACGGCATAGGGACTGTTGCAGCGAGGCGGTTCTATTTCCGTTTGTTTTGTTCTTGTTTTGCGGGCTTGGGGCCACGCCGGGCGATGCTCAGGGCTTTGCTCCTGGCTCTGCACTCCGGGATCACTCCCAGCGGTGCTCAGGGGACTCTATGGGGTGCCGGGGATCGAACCCGGGTCGGCCACGTGCACGGCAAGCGCAGGACACGCTGCCCTTGGGGGAGGAGTTCTGGAGCAGCTCCAGGGTCACAGGTGTCCTCGCTGTCCTTGGAGAGATCACTACCGGGCAGGGCTCCCGGTGCCCTCCCCTGCAGAGGCCGGAGCTGGGGGTCGGGGTGCAGGAAGCCCCTCTGCCGCCCAACCCCGCCCCGGACTCCGCCCCACGCGACCCGCCGTGGCCCGAGCCAATGGAAAGGCGCGGTCCAGGCCTAGCCCCGCCCTTAACTCCGCCCATGCTGGAACCCCGCCCTCGATGTAACTCCGCCCCTCAGAGGTCCGAGCCAATGGAAAGGCGCAGCACGGTCCAGCCCGCCCTGAACTCCTCCCATGCTGGAACGCCTCCCCTGCTGGAACTCCGCCTCTCAGAGACTCGAGCCAATGGAAAGGCGCAGCACGGCCCAACCCCGCCCCTGGACTCCGCCCCCTCCTGAAATTCCGCCCCTGCTGTAACCCCGCCCCCCTCTAAGCTGCCCGAGCCAATGGATAGGCACAATCCTGCCAGCTGCACCCTGGACTCCGCCCCTCCTGAAACTCCGCCCCGATGGAACCCCGCCTCTCTCAGCGGCCCGAGCCAATGGAAAGGCGCGTCCCGGCCCCGCCCCGCCCTGGACTCCGCCCCTCCTGGAACTCCGCCTCTCAGCGCACCCACTTTCACTCCTGCGCTGCTGCGCTCTCGGCCAGCGGAGCTGCTGGGGGCTGAGTGCTGAGTGCCCGGAGCGCGGCCCGGCAGCCGCTGCAGCACGGCCGCGATGCTTTTCTTCCTGTACGGCTTCCTGCTGCTGCCCCTGCTGCTCCTCTTCTACGTGGAGTCGCTCCTGAAGCTTTTCGTGCCCAAGAAGAAGAAGTCGGTGGTCGGGGAGATCACCTTGATTACTGGCGCGGGACACGGGATCGGGAGACTGACCGCCTATGAATTTGCCAAACTTGGAAGCAAGCTGGTTCTGTGGGACATAAACAAGGTAACGGTGCCTGCTCCGGTCCGCTTCTGCCGCCGTGCAGTCTTGTTTTGCAGCAGGTCCGGGAGGAGCTAAGTTCCTGCGTTTGCATGCCTCTTTTCGGGGTGCAGGGGAAAAGAACCAAGGATGTGTTAGCAATCACCCGGTCAACAGACCCTGAGGATTGAAATGCCTCCGCGATGATTCATCACTAGTTGCGCTGTAAATCGATCCTCTTGCCCTGAAAATAATTCGGAAAATAACCCCGAAACTGGTCCCAAACCCTCGCGACCCTCTACTTCAATCATAAGGAAATAGTTCTGCTCCTATATTGAAAGAGGTTTGTACCTATTTAAAAAAAAAATCCTACTTCCCATTTCTGAGATAAATGAATTTTAAAATATCCATATCCAACCTAGAACAATATTTATGTTTCCTTAGTGATTGCAGACAGTACATTTTTCAAATCTTAGTTCCAACACCACCAATCCCTTCCATCTGTTGTTTTTTTACCAGAAAGGTGTAAAGTTTAAGTAAAAGAGGCTTTGCTTCCCTTTATTTGCCCAAAGGCAGACAAAGAAGTTCCTGAAAGGCACCCAAGGGCTGAACCCCACCCCGTGGGGAATCAGTCAACGCCCAGGGCAAATGGAGCTAAGGGCATGCGTTGGGAGATGGGAGATAATACTGAGTGAGCGGTGATAAATAAGGGACAAATCATTGTGGGGATCCTTTTCCTGATTCTCAGACCTCTGGGGCCAACAGGCACCAGGTTGCATAGTCTCAGTCCAATACAAAGGAAAAGACATTCATTAACCCATGCTCAGTGAAGGACAAGCTAAGTCCAGCTGGCAGGCTGGGTGGGACTGGTGAGGAAGGGTGGTGGTTAGATAGATGCCTTGGGACTCTCCTCTTTTTCATGGCCCCGCACTAAGCATTGGGGGTGACTTCCTCAAATGTCAAGTTCCTTCTTTTCTGAAAAATAAAGAGAAATGGATAAAATAACCACAGAGGAATGGGGGTGGGGGGGGTGGGGGATTATACCAGATCATGCACACCAAGCCTTGAGCACATTGCCTAGCATTTTTTTTTCATCTGGCAGTATGCCTAGTTCATATTCCTTCACAAAGCGGAGCTTGAGGTAAGATTTGAGGTGCTCGGCATAGCTTGGTGGTTGCCTCCCAGCGCCTGTTGCTAGTCTGTGCACCGTTCTCTGATCCAGAGTGAGTGTATTGGTAAAGGTAAAGGCCCTCCCGTTGATCGTCGATTTGCTTGAGCGGGCCCAGTAATGTCTCCATTGGAGACTTTGTTGTTACTGTGTCTGGCATATCGAATACTCTCGAGTAGCTTGCCGGGCTCTCCGAGTGTATTGGTCCCACAAATATTTTTTGAGCACCTCCCTGCTGCCAGCCACCGTTCTAATGCAGAGCTGAGGCTACAGAGCAGGAGAAGACCGACTTGATGAGCTCTGGACGGTAGACTAGACACACAACCAGACATGTAATTGTGAGTGAGAGTGGCAGTTGTGTTTCCTTTTTTTTTTTTTTTTGCTTTTTGGGTCACACCCGGCGATGCTCAAGGGTTACTCCTGGCTCATGCACTCAGGAATTACTCCTGGTGGTGCTCAGGGGACCATATGGGATCCTGGGAATCAAACCAGGGTTGGCCATGTTGGCTGCATGCAAGGCAAACGCCCTACCCACTGTGATATCGCTCCAGCCCCAATCGTTTTTGCTTTTGGACGGGGGTTCACAGGTCACACCCAGCAGTGCTCTGGTGCTGTCCCCAGCTCTGTGCTCAAGGGTCACTGCTTTTGCTACTTAGGGGACCTTGCAGTGTCGGGGATGGAACCATGGTTGACTACGTGCCATACTAGTATCTCAGCCCATGGTCAAAACAAACAAAAAAGAACTCTGACCTGCCTCTCTGGCCCAAGAGTGATCATAATCAACGATGTCACAATAAGTGAAATTATTGGTGGTGATAAGTGGGGAGATGCAGCATGACCCAGGGGGAGGGACTGTGGCAGGGAGGGACGACAGGCAGGCAGTGGGTGTTGACCTTACAGACACCTTGCTGGGATGGAGAGGTGAGGTCCACCCAGAGGTGGCAGGGGACATGAGAAGTCCGGTGCTTATCTGCGCAGTGGTCACAGGTGGTGGAACCCTGGTTCAGAGTGAGCCCCGGGCTGGCGCTGGAGTGCTCATTCAGCAGTTGATGCGTGGCTCTTCCGGATGGAGAAGCTTTTGTATGATCAAAAAAAGAGTGCAGCATATCTCACTAAGGACTTTTATAGGTCTTACGTATTGGATAATAATACTTTGGATGCATCTAGTTAGATAAGATACATGATAAATAGGTTATGTATTCTCGGGGCTGGAGCGATAGCACAGCTGGTAGGGCGTTTGCCTTGCACACAGCCAACATGGCCAACACAGGTTCGATTCCCAGCATCCCATATGGTCCCCCAAACACCGCCAGGAGTGATTCCTGAGAGCATGAGCCAGGAGTAACCCCTGAGCATCGCTGGGTGTGACCCAAAAAGCAAAAAAAAATAGGTTATGTATTCTTAACATGGCTCATAAAAAAATCACGCGCACACATTATATTTCTAGGGGACAGAATTAACCTCGAGACTGAAGGGACAGTGGCTTCAGATCACACAGGTTCCCATGGGCTATTTTACGTGCTTCTGTTTCATCGTCCCACAGTGAAGCTGCGTTGTCTGTTAGCCAACATGTCCCCGCTTCCTTCTCTCCCGAACCCTGGCAGCCAGAATTCTACTTTCTGTCTGAAACTCCGCGAACAAGAACGGTATCCTCCTGGTCCTTGTATGTTTGACTTAGTTCACTTATTATCCTTGTGACTCATTAGCTGTGTCACAATTGAGTTCCCCCACCCCATCCGAGTGCAGCCAGTCTTTGTGCTGATGGATTCCACAGCTGATGGACCTGGACCAAATCTCAGAGCCAGGCACACGTGGTCTGGACCAAGCATGTGCAGGCTCGCCTCGTGAGGCTTCCCTCACCGGTACCATACATCTCTCACGTGTCTGCGTTGGATTCCGTCTTCTAAGTGCCTTAGGGATGATGGAAAGTGTGCAAGGGAAGGTGTGTGGGCTGGGACGCAAGCTCTGTCGCTCTGTGCACGAGCGTCTGTGAAGGATGCTGGGGTCAAACCCCATGATTACTGAGTGCATGTGTGTGGAGTGAGTGCTTGTGAGTGTGTTCGTGTATATGTGACTAAGTAGATCTGCGTGTGAGTGTGTGGTGCATGGGAGTGTGTATACGTGTAAGTATGTGTGTTTGTGTGTGCGTGTGAGTATGTGTGTATGTGTTCAAGTGTATGCGTGTGTGAGTGCATATGTGTGCAAGTGTGTGCATGTGTATGAGAATGTATGTGTGTGTGAGTGCGTGTGCATGTGTGACTGTATGTGTGCGAGTATGGGCATGTGTATGTGAGTATATGTGTGTGAGTGTGTATGCATGTGTGGGTATATATGTGAGAATGTGTGTGCATGTGAGTGTATGTGTGCGAGTGAGTGAGTGTGTATGTTTTGTATGCACATGTGTGTGCATGTGAGTGTGTGCATGTGAGTGGGGTTGATGGGTGTGTATATTGGTTTGTGGTATTGTGTTTCTGAGTGTGTATGCTATTAAATGAAGGTAAAGGTAAAGGCCCTCCCATTGATCGTCGATTTGCTCGAGCAGGCCCAGTAACGTCTCCATTGGAGACTTTGTCGTTACTGTGTCTGGCATATCGAATACGTCACGGGGAGCTTGCCAGGCTCTGCCGTGCGGGCGAGATACTCTCGGTAGCTTGCCGGGCTCTCCGAGAGGGGCGGAGGAATCGAACTCGGGGCGGCCATGTTGGCTGCGTGCAAGGCAAACGCCCTACCGCCAGCAATAGCACAGCGGTAGGGCATTTGCCTTGAACGCAGCCAACATTAAATGAAAATGTTTTAAAATGTTTTGATCATTAAGTTAATGTGGCTATACCAGTGCTGATGCTTTTGCTTTGACTGTCTCATTATTCTCGCACCCAGTGCCACTGAGGAGAGCGCTGAGGAGCTTGTGAGGGACGAAGGGCAGTGGGGGATCATCTCTGAGTTTGGTAAATCGGGGGACCAGGGCTCCGGCCAGAGGAGTGCACAGTTTGGGTAGGAGATTTCAGTAAAAGGGAAATGTCCGGTTTGCTTTCATTGTCCCGGAAAGTGTGGCTTGCACACTGCCAGCTCCTTCCAGAACTGCTCCTCTTTCTTTCCCAGAAGAAATTGCTGTTCGCTAGCGAATTTCCACACTAGTGTTCCGCTTTGCCCTTCTTTCTGTGAGTCCATGTAGTAACTTCTCTTTCCTTACAGGTAAAAGTGCTCCGTCCACTTCTGCATTGGCCAGCAGTCGTTTTTAGGCTTGCAAAGCTCACAGACTAACCCTCAATCCAACATATTCTTGGGGCACTGTAGCACAGTAACACTGTCCTCCTGTTGTTCATTGATTTGCTCGAGCGGGCCCAGTAACGTCTCCATTGTGAGACTTGTTGTTACTGTTTTTGGCATATTGAATATGCCACGGGGAGCTTACCAGGCTCTGCCGTGCAGGCGGGATACTCTCGGTGGCTTGCCGGGCTCTCCCAGGGGGCAGAGGAATAGAACCCGGGTCGGCCGCGTGCAAGGCAAACACCCTACCCACTCTGCTAACATTCTCATAAAACTAGAAGCTACAAAATTGGGTCATTAAAACAGCAGCAACAGCAAAGATAAGGGAAGGGGGGAAATCACCAAAATTATAAATTTTTAAACTGCAAAAATGATCAAAAGCAGCCCAACAAAAAAGCAAGCATAGACAGAGGGAAAAAAAAAGACAACAAAGTCTGAACCCTGTGGTCTGCTCCTGAATCATGGCCCAAATTGGACTCATCACCCTTCTCTCTCCGTGAACTCTGGAGCTGGTGTTTGCTACTGCCGGAGTTCCATTTCCCCAACCCCAAGCATGAATGTCAGTGTGGGCTCTTTCTCCCCTCTTCCAGTCCCCAAGCCCTGATCTGGCCTCCTCTAGAAGTCGTTTAAAGAGTCTCGGGGCTGGGGAATATAAAGTAACAGAATGGGAGACGAATACCCAAGAATAGTTGAGGTAAGTACCAGGAGGTTTGCTCCATGGCTTGGAAGCCGGCAGCACATGCTGGGGGGAAAGGCAGCTCAGATAGAGAGGGGACCACCAAGTAAAGAGGGTTAGGAGGGCCTGCTCAGGATGGGAGATGCGGGCTGAAAGTAGACTATAGACCAAACACAATGGCCACTCAATACCTCTATTGCAAACCACAACACCCAAAAGGAAAGAGAGCAAAAGGGAATGCCCTTGGGGCTGGAGCAATAGCACAGCGGGTAGGGCGTTTGCCTTGCATGCAGCCAACATGGCCAACACAGGTTCGATTCCCAGCATCCCATATGGTCCCCCGAACACCGCCAGGAGTGATTCCTGAGAGCATGAGCCAGGAGGAACCCCTGAGCATCGCTGGGTGTGACCCAAAAATAAAAAAAAGGGAATGCCCTGCCACAGAGGCGGGGTGGGGTAGGGGGAATGGGGTGGGGGGCGTGGGCGGGATACTGGGACCCGTGGTGGTGGAGAATGGGCACTGGTGGAGGGATTGGTACTCGATCATTGTATAACTGAAACCCAAGCACAAAAGTTTGTAAGTCTACAACTGTACCTCATGGTCTTTCACTAATAAAAAAAAAAAAGAAATAAAAGAGTCCAGGGCTGGCCTGCTAGAACAGTGGGTAAGGTGCTTGCCTTTATGCAGCCAAGCTGAGTTCAGTCCCTGGTTCCCCCAGGCGCTGCCAGGAATGATTCCTGGGTGCAGAGCCAGGAGCAGCCCCTGAGCATCGCCGGGCATGGTCCCCCCCCCCAAAAAAAAATAATAAAATCTTCCAGCTTAGGCAGCACATAGCCTGAATGAAGTTAGCATGACAGAACCACACTCTTCATGCAGGAAGCAAGCTGACGAAGCCTTCCAGATTGAATGCTTGTACTCCGAGCACCGGAGAGAGAGTCCAAGGACTGTACTTGTTGCAGCTGTTACCCAGCATTGGCAGTAGTGCCACAGTTCAAGCTCCGTGTCGTTTCCTGCTCACGTAATCTGTTGCCTCGTTTTTCTCTCTTCCTGCACTGTCGACCCGTAGGCCTGATCAAGAGTCATGAGTGGCGCACACATGTAACTCTACAGTTTTATTGAGTGGGTCCCCATTTTTCCTCTTTGCATAGAACCTGGCATGTAGATAAAAGGCAGAGAATGCATAGAACCTCGTGAGTCGATGTAGTGGAAAGAACCTAGTGTCAAGCTAGAACACCTTCTGACCTGAACTCCCGCCCCGGTCGGCCTCGAATGCCCTCCCCCTCTTCCTGACTGTTCTGCTCATATGTAAGACCCAATTCAGGGGCAGGAGAAATGACACAGCGAGTAGGGTATTTGCACCCAGGTCACCCTTGCACCCAGTTGATGCAGATCTGATCCCTGGCACCCCATATGATCCCCCAAGCACAGAGCCAGGAGTAAGCCCTGAGCACCACTCAAAAAGTATGCCTCCCCCTCCAAAAAAAAAAAAAGAAGAAGATTAAAGTCACGTCTTCTTGTCAAGTTGCATTGCTCACCCATTCTCCCGTTCCCATAACATCTGTACATAGCTCTGTCACTATCCGTGCAATATTCTGGCAGTGGTCAGCCTTGTACTCCAGTGCAGTAGCCATTTTCTGAGATCTGCCCCAGAAAGCAGACTTATTTGAAGTTTCTCCTCCATCATAAGCTCCCTGGGGCGAGCTTTGTCCCTCTCGAGTCTGTGTCCACATGGCCGGAAGCACTGTGACCTGTCCTACCTGCCGATATACGGAGGGAGGGAGGGAGGGTGGGAGGGAGGGAAGGAGATGAAGGTTGGACTCAAACCATTCGATATTTATTGTGTAGCCAGAAAATTGAAATCCGTGCATTGTTTTTCAGTGATGGAGAAAAGCTCTTTAAAGCTCCATCTGGATTATACCCACATGCATATATCACAAGGAACATAGTTCATGAAGATGAAGCTGGTATTTCAAGAGTTTTGCCTTCCCTGATAAGACTTTGTTTCCGGACTGAAGTGATAGTGCAGTGGGTGGGTGCTCGCCTTGCATGTGGCGGACCCGGGCTCCGTCCCCGGCATCTCATAGCGTTCCCGAGCCCGCCAGGAGTGATTCCTGAGTCCAGAGCCAGGAGTGAGCCCTGAGCTCTGCCAGCTGTGGCCCCCAGGCAAAAACAAAATCGAAAGATCTTGTTTTAAATTTAGTTCCAAATTTTATGACACAAAAAAACCAAACCCTGGACTGGACTGTTAGCACAGCAGGTAGGGCGTTTGCCTTGCACGCAGCCAACTCAAGTTCAATTCCCAGCACCCTATATGGTCCCCCTGAGCACTGCCAGGAGTAATTCCTGAGTGCATGAACCAGGAGTAACCCCTGAGCATTGTCAAGTGTGACCCAAAAAGCAAAAACAAAAACAAAACAAAAAACCCTATTTTGTAAAACTGAGATTACCAGGTAGTGACGGGATGGGTGGGTTTCGGGTTGTTGGTGGTGGCAGAGTGCAGTGACCACATCCAAAGCATAGGGCTTTGCAAGGGACCAGCCCAGTGGGATCCCTGGCGCCATGTGTGGTCCCCAAGCACCAGCAGGACTGACCCCTGAGCACAGGCGGGTGTGGCACGACCACAGCCCCAACCCATAAGTACATGTCAACCATAACATAAGCATGTTACCTCAACTATCGTAAGAAGCCATGGTTGACTGAGAAATGAATTTCATTCTAAATAAAAGAAACTAGGCAGGGCTGGAGTGATAGCACAGCGGATAGGGTGTTTGCCTTGCACGCGGCCGACCGGGGTTCAATTCCCAGCATCCCATATGGTTCCCTGAGCACCGCCAGGGATGGTTCTTGAGTCCAGAGCCAGGAGTAACCTCTGTGCATTGCCGGGTGTGACCCAGAAAGCAAAAAAAAAAAAGAAAGAAAGAAAGAAAGAAAGAAAGAAAGAAAGAAACTAGGCAAAGTACCAAGAGCTAAGTGTGCCTGACCCAGGTCAAAATAGGGTGCCACGAGTTCCGGCTCAGACTGCCCTGGGGATGGATGTCCAGCTGGGTGTCTAAGCCTCTCCTCTGTCCTGTTTCAGGCTGGGGTGGAGGAGACGGCCGCCGAGTGCCGGAGGCTGGGCGCCAGCACCCACAGCTTCGTGGTGGACTGCAGCAAGCGAGAGGACATCTACAGCTCCGCCAAGAGGGTGAGTGCTGGCCCTGGTGGGAACGGACGACCAGGTAGCCGAATGGGCAGCCCAGGGGGCCGGACAGTGGGGTCTCACCCCCAGCAACGTCCTTCGTGGCCAGGCTGGTTTCCTGCAGGGCAGGGCTGGCCCTGGTGCCCACTGCTCGCCCATCAAATTCCGAGATGGGCAGATTCTTGGAGGACGTGGCAGAGTGGGGGGTTGGGGGGCCGGGGAAGCCCCCTTTCATTGCACACAACCTGTTCCTGTAGAGCACATTCTGCTCTCGCCTGGTCCCCGGGGCTGTCCCAGGGGCTGTCACTCCCTATTGACCCTGCACTGTGGATTTGGCCTTAAGGACAGGGCTGCCGGGTTGCTACCCACAAACGCCTCCTCCAGCTCCTGAAGGACCATGATCCCAGAGGCACACAAACCAATCTCAGAACCCAGGGGCTTTGGGCAGTAATCCCTCTAGGCTTATGACTAAAATATCAAAACTCCAAATCTATTGCGGCCACACGACATCCTGTGGTCTTCATCATCAGCAATAGAAAACAAATTATCTAATGATGTCTATTTGGCAGGTCTGAATGTTGGGGAAAATTCCAAATAAGAATGTTGGGGGTTTTTGTTGTAATATTGAATGTGATCAACGTAGAGAGAGAGAATAAAGTGGAAATCTGCCACACAGGCAGGGGGTGGGTGGGAAGGGGGGGTATACTGGTGTTCTTGGTGGTGGAAAATGTGCACTGGTGAAGGGACGGGTGTTTGAGCATTGTATGACCGACCGAGACTTCAACTGAAAGGCTTTGTGACTGTTGTCACGGTGATTCAATAAATAAAACTTAAAAAAATAAATAAAGGACGGGGCTGAAAAATGGTGGACGGGAGTCATTCACTTGCACACACCTGGCCCTGCCACGAGGCAGATGCCGCCAGGCTCACAGCAGTGCCTGCCCCCGAGGGTGCTAATGAGGACCACCAAGTGCAGCAGTGATGTGGAGCTTTTAGGACAGAACCTGAGACATGGCAATCACGTGCCTCATGGCAGGGCCGGGCTCAGAGCCTCTGCTGCGGGAACTTGACATCTGGGGAAATTTTTCACCTGGACGATGGCATCTTAGCCAGCGATTTCTGACAGGTAGTCGGTTCGTAGGTGAGGTCGGAGCTCGGTGCGAGGCTCACCAGGGTCCCCTGTGAGGGGCACAGTGAGAACCATGCTTGTACCTGCTCACACAGGAGCACTGCCCAGTTAGCACCAGCTACAGTGCCAGGCGCCGGCTACTGAAACTCTCTGAGCCCAGTTTTCTCACAGCAGTGCCTGCCCCCAAGGGTGCTTATGGGAGGACCAAGGGCAGCAGTGATGTGGAGCTTTTCGGACAGAACCTGCAACATGGCAATCACAGCCTAAGCCTTAGTTTTTGCTGCTAGTGAAAGAACTCCCAGGATAGTGGATATGAATTACGAGGCAGCGTTAAGGGCATCTGCTAGCCTGGGATTCTTCAGTCACACTTCTGTTCACTCCCACGTGGTTTTTTTTCCCCCCACATGAAGGGGAAAAAACAAAACTCACTGTTTTAATCAATTTTGTGTTTTTTTTTTAATTCTAGTGTTCTTACTGGAATTCTTTGGTCACATAAGAGAGTAATTTCTATTTTGATTTCAGAGAATTCAGAGTCTTTATGCTATTTTTCATCAGTTGGTCTCCCAGAATGCCCGTTTTTTTTTTCCCCCAGTAGCTGACAGTCCATATTCTGATTAGTGGGTATGTGAATTGAGGAATGAAGACTGTGGACCTCGGCCGTAGAGTTCAGCTGGACTCTTCATTTAAATGCTCGTTGATGCTGGTGGTCCGGGCTGCACCTCATTACACGCAGGAGTGGACAGGCCGTTGCCGCTCGCTTCCTTCCTGTTCAAGATTGGATACTGCACTAAGCCCCGAGCTCTGGTCAGGCCCTTCCAGCTTGGCGGCATCATGAATAGCCCTGTGTCCCGGTGGGAGGTGGGGGGCATCTGTGATTCATGCATCTCAGGTTTACATCGTCTCATGCTTACTCAGAGTTGTTTGTTCAACCCTTTTGAGAATAAAATATGATGAAATAGAGACATCTTACAAAGTGTAAATCCCGGAAAAGTTCTTAGGAGGCTGTTTCCTTATTCCCTTAGTTTCACCCCCCCCAGAACTATATAAATAATTTTAATTCTATTAATAAAAGCTAAGTTGTATTTGGAATAGAATGTAAAATAAAATGTGTAACTAAGTTGCCAAGAAACTTGGTTACTCGGAGAGCCGTGGGTTTTGCAACAGAGTATTCCTGTTACTGGCTCCTGAGTCCACTGCCACCTGGTGGACAGCAGTGGAATTGGCGATAATGGCGTGAACGCAAAAGTCAGTGCATGTTCTAAGTGCATGCTAACTTAATGCATGTGGCATCTAAAACGTTTAACGCTGTTCCATCTTAAAGTCCCCGCATTTTCCAATGAGGCAGCTTTTGAAAAATCACCTCCTGAAGTCATATTTTAAGAATAAATGCTGGGGTGGGGCTGGAGAGATAACTCAGCAGGTAGGGCGTTTGCCTTGCACGCGGCCGACCCAGGTTCGATTCCCAGCATCCCATATGGTCCCCTGAGCACTTCCAGGGGTGATTCCTGAGTGCAGAGCCAGGAGTAACCTCAGTGCATCACTGGGTGTGACCCGAAAAGAAAAAAATAAATAAAAAATAAATGCTTATTTGCTGCTGGAAGCCTCCTGCCTGTAATCAATAGAGCAAAGTCTGCATTCCAAAAAAAAAAAAAAAAAAAGCTCTTCCTGGGAACCTCAGAGGCAAAGCGATATTGAACATTCAACGGTGTTTTTCTCCTGTGTTGACACAAAAATTACAAAACCCGTTCCCCTCCCTCATCTACTAGAAAGGCATGTACTTCCTAAACAAATAAACTTCTCCCTCTTATTTTTTAAAGGTGAAAGCAGAAATCGGAGATGTCAGTATCTTAGTGAATAACGCTGGTGTGGTCTGCACCGCAGATTTATTTGCTACACAAGACCCTCAGATTGAAAAGACTTTTGAGGTCAATGTCCTTGCACATTTCTGGGTAAGTGGACGTCCTGTAGAGAACCATCCCCTCCCCGCGGGATTCAGGAATCAGGAAGGCTCGGTGGGACTGCAGGGTTAGCAGAGCCAGCCCTGGGGTTGGGGCCGCGTGGTGCCAGGCCAGCCCTGCAGCCCTTTGGGAATCTCCAGAAAGATCCTCTCCGCCCCAGAAAGGAAGTATAAAATGGAACTCCTAGCAGACATGCGAATCGCTACTAAACTGTCCTGTGTAAAGCAACTGGTTTTCACACTGTGACCAGATCCCATCAGTATTTCTTTCTCTCCCCCTCAAAACTCTCAGTGATGATGATGATGATGTAATAATAAGCAGGTGTGGGGCTGGAGCCACAGCACAGCGGGTGGGGCGTTTGCCTTGCATGCAGCCAACATGGCCAACCCAGGTTCGATTCCCAGCACCCCATATGGTCCCCTGAGCACCGCCAGGAGCAACCCCTGAATATCGCTGGGTGTGACCCAAAAAGCCAAAAAAAAAAAAAAGAAAAAAGAAAAAAAAAGCATCTGCATCTGGTGGTGGCCGTGCTGAGCTGCTGCCTCTCATGTGATGCTCCAAAAAGTGCCCTCAGTTTGCTTTTACGTTCTTGGTTATTTCTGGCCCTGAAATCGCAAATTCCAAACTCACACTCGGGGCCTTGATATATTATATATTTAAGTGTATTTAAGCATATGTAGTCTATTTAGTACGTAAGACTCCGTAATATAATATATTAATCCTCTACTGACACCCCCCAAATATCAGCCGTTGTGATATTACATGTTGCTATCCAGAACTTCTTCAGAGCTCAAAAAGTGTCCAAACACCCAGTTCTTCAAGAAGCCACCAATTTTCTTGAATGTGCATTTAAGATAAGCAATCATAAAAGAATCTTGAGGTTCTTTGGAAACACGTTATGATTTTCATATTCTCAAGTTCCTGACATTGGCCTTTGTCTTTCTCTGGCGTCCCTTTGCCTCTGCTCTGCACCGTCTCATTTCTAATCCCCAGCACATGGGAGTGATCAGTGCAGTGTGGGCAAGATACTCTCAGTAGCTTGCCGGGCTCTTCGAGAGGAAAGGAAGAATCGAACCCTGGTTGGCCGCACCTGCGGCAAGGCAAACACCCGACCTTCTGTGCTCATTTTCTCTCTTATGTCAGGAACAGCATGAATGCAACGTGTCCTTGCTTTGAAATAGCTCCAATGGATCTGTGAACCAAAAATAAAAAATATTTCTCTCCCTCCATGCAAACGGCTTCTAGACTACCAAGGCCTTTCTTCCAGAGATGATGAACAGCAACCACGGCCATATCGTCACAGTGGCCTCGGCGGCTGGGCACTACGGGGTCCCCTTCTTAATGGCCTATTGGTGAGTATGTGTCTTCTGTGAGTTCCTGTGCTTCACTGCAATAGACGTGAAGTGGCTGAAGCAGCAGAGTGGCCTGCAGAGCCTCGTACACAATCGCTTCACCAGCCAGGGGCCCCTCCACGTGAGCTTGTGGGAAGTGGCTGCAGTAAATGATCCCGTTAGAAACCAGCCTCTTGAGAGCATTCCTCGACTCCTGGAGGGTGTTTTGTTTCTCTGTTTTGGTTTGGGGCCACACCCTTGCAGTACTCAGGGCGTACTCCTGGCTCTGCACTCAGGAATCACTCCTGGCAGTGCTCAGGGGACCTTACAGGAGCTCAGGGATTGAAACCAGGTCGGCCACGTGCCAGGCAGACGCCCTTGCCACTGTTCTATGGCTCTGGCCTGTCCCCGCCACTTTTATACAAAGCTGGAACAGTGTTTTTGTACTGTGATCAGTAGCTACTATTGTCACTTTTGTTGTTGTGAGCCAGGAGGGACCCACACTCGGTGGTGTGGAAATGGGGAGTACTTGGGAGCTACCTGGTGCCAGAGGTGAACCCACAACCTCACGTATGCGTGAGAAAAAAAAAACCCTGCAAACATTATCTGGTTATTTATCCCACCAAATTGAATACTCACTTAAAATGATGGCCCAACAAAAATGTTTATACTTGAAATCTTTATGCACAATCTAAAAAGTAATAATGTGGTATTCTTTAGACCGCTGAGTTGCACAAGTGAAATGTTGGGTTCTGTGGCATGTGCATTTCTATCCTAATAAACTTGTTATTAAGAAAAGAAGCAGGGGCTGGAGCGATAGCACGGCGGTAGGGCGTTTGCTTTGCACGCAGCCAACACGGCCGACACAGGTTCGATTCCCAGCATCCCATATGGTCCCCCGAGCACCGCCAGGAGCAATTCCTGAGTGCATGCGCCAGGAGTAGCCCCTGAGCATCACCGGGTGTGACCCAAAAAGCAAAAAAAAAAGAAGAAACAGAGGGGCCTGGAGAGATAGGATGGCAGGGAAGGCGCTTGCCTTATATGCGGCTGGTCCGGGTTCGACTTCCAGCACCTCCAGGAGTGATCTGAGCACAGAGCCAGGAGTAACCCCTGAGCATCGCCAGGTATGGCCCAAGAACAAAAAAAGAAACAGGTGTCGCAAGTGCCATAGCACCTGCCTAAGCTTATCCCCAGCACCCGCTTTCCGCCCCTCCCCCCGCACCACAGACTGTCACCCCATAAATAGAAATTAACTGGGTAACTGCTATTTCTTTTTATTTATTCAGTTCTTTCTGGTTCTCATTCCAAAAATGGGGGCAGTGACGGTGTGAACTGCTTTGTGTTGGATGAATTTATTTGTCGAGCAAATCGAGCAAATCGACGAATTTATTTGAAAAGTATTTACTGAGCAGGTTGACTTTAGGTTGACCTTCCGACCACTCACTACTTTCGGACTAGGGCTGGAGCGATAGCACGGCGGTAGGGCGTTTGCCTTGCACGCAGCCAACATGGCCGACCCGAGTTCGATTCCTCCGCCCCTCTCGGAGAGCCTGGCAAGCTACCGAGAGTATCTCGCCCGCACGGCAGAGCCTGGCAAGTCACCCGTGATGTATTCGATACAATGGAGACGTTACTGGGCCCGCTCGAGCAAATCGATGATCAACGGGAGGGCCTTTACTTTTACTTTACTTTACTGAGCACCTAGTATAGACCAGGTATAGACCTGTTAAAAAAAAATCACAGGACACCAAACAGCCATGGAGCTTATAAAAGAAAGTCCAGGAATGGGGAGTGAGTAGGGGGACAGGCTTTTTAAAAATCCCCCCACTTAACTATTTATTTAGGAGTTTTAGGTGAGTTCCCATGGGAACTGCAGCTGACTTAGACCTAGTTTCAAGAGAGGCTTAAAGAAGGAAGACTCCAGGGCCGAAGCAGTAGCACAGCGGGGAGGGCGTTTGCCTTGCACACAGCTGACCCAGGTTCGATTCCCAGCATCCCATATGGTCCCCTGAGCACCGCCAGGACTAATTCCTGAGTGCATCACCGGGTATGACCCAAAATGCAAAAGAAACAAAACAAAAAAAAAAAGAAGAAAAAGAAAGAAGACTCCACAGGCAAATCTCGCACTTCCACGAGCAAATCTTTGCAAATCATGAACAACCTGTAGCGGAAACAGAGAGAGTAAAGGCAACCACCCAACAACTTTGTTTTGGTTTGGTTGGGGGGACCCACACCTAGCAGTGCTCAGGGTTACTCCTGACTCTGCTCTCAGGAATTACTGCTGGTGGTGCTCAGGGGATGAGAGGGGATGCTGGGGATCGAACCCAGGTTGGCCACGTGCAAGGCAAACGCCCTACCCGCTGTGCTCTGACCCCTAAACACCCAACAACTTTGTAACAGCCACAATAAATCTTCCTCACTTCTCACTGTGGGAAGTGGTGATGGGATGCAGTGTATGCTGTGTTGTGTGCTCAGGCATGAATATTCACCTGGGAACCTTCTAGAATGTGGATTCTGATTCAGAAGCACCGGGCTGGGCTTCTGTGCTGTGCAAGCCCACACCCCCCACACACAGGTCTTTCCCAGAGACCACCATCAGGAAAACTCCCCTGAGTTCAGTAGCTGCAGCGGCTGCCCTGGCTTGCTGTGACTTCTGCTTCTTCTCAGTTCTAGCAAATTTGCTGCTGTCGGATTTCATAAGTCTCTCACGGAAGAACTGGAAGCCTTGGGGAGAACCGGAGTCAAAACCTCGTGCCTCTGCCCGAATTTCATCAACACCGGCTTCATCAAAAACCCGTCTACCAGGCAAGTGGGGCAGGAACGGGCCCGCGGGTGCTGGCCGGGTCTCTGTCCTGCGGGTTCCGGCAGGCGTTGGGGTCCGTGTCTCTGGGATTGTCCGTCCACCCCCGTCCCGGTGTCTGCAGCTTGGGAGCTGCCCGGGGCCACTGTGCTGTCACCGGCTGTGCCGCTGACTGTGCCATCTCCCGCTCCTTTGATCTCCCTCGCCGTGGCCCAGACTTTAGTTCATACCCCGTAAGTCACACCCGGAGGGAACCACGTCGGGGCTCCCCACCCCCCAAACCCTGACTTGTCAGGTTTGCTGGCATAGAGTGGTGCTGGCAAAAAGGTTACCCAGGGCTTACTCACCTCTAGTGCTCTGGTAAAGATGAGTCTGTACAGCCCTTTCCTGGGCCGGTCTAGAAACGCTTCTGCAAAGTGACAACCAGACTTGGCAAAAATCACTGACGTGTAGGGGTGGGGGAGGCAGCGCCAGGCAGACTCAAAGTCAGGTCCATGCGGGCACCCCTGGGCTAGCTGGAGAACCCCCTCTCCCCCCGCCCCCGGCCGCCTTGCCCAGCACTGCTTGGAAAATCCAGAATAATGGACCGACTTGGAGAGGGTCAGCCCCGAGGTTAATGTTTGGTGTTTCCTCCCTCCGAGGAATCGTCACTACTGACATACGCAGCACGCTGACTTGGTTTTTTGAAATCTATCGTAGAAAAGGACACACACATTCTTCTCTCAGTTTCCTTAACCTCCAGCCCACTCCCCAGCCCCTCAGTTGTGCCCAAGTTTCAGATTCCCAATTGCGGATAAACCAAGTCCGCACACTATATTGCAAAAGCAAAGGAACTTGGTTACGAGCCTGAGCTAGGGTCCAAATCTCAACCAATGCAGTGGAGTCTTGACAAGGACCCCGATTCCAAATCACAAGCAGTTTCTGTAGGGTTCTGTGGAGTTAAGAGCGGTTTACCTACTGGTCTATTTTTAGCATTGGCCTGATTACAATGATGGTCAGCAACAGTTTCTAAGGAGGGGCCAGTGACCCTTCATGGCTGGCCAAGACCCAACTGCCCAATTCCTTATCTTGGCCAATTACTCAACTGGGAGTTTACCAGAAACTGCAAGTAAGTCCTGCTTTGGGGAAACAGAAACTGAGGCCTAGCTGAGACTTCATGTTAACTGCAGCTTGTCATGGCTTGAGGATCCTGCTTTTGGGCCTCACACCTCAATGCACTGTCACTGTCCTCCCATTGTTCATCGATTTGCTGGAGCGGGCCCAGTAACGTCTCCATTGGAGACTTTGTTGTTACTGTGTTTGGCATATCGAATACGTCACAGGGAGCTTGCCCAGGCTCTGCCGTGCGGGCGAGATACTCTCGGTAGCTTGCTGGGCTCTCCGAGAGAAACAGAGGAATCGAACCCAGGTCAGCCGCGTGCAAGGCAAATACCCTACCCGCTGTGCTATCGCTCCAGTCCAAATTCTGATGAAGTATCTTTTTATGATGAAGCAGAAGATGAAAACTCAGGAGTACCTCCTGCAACTGGTACCCTTGGGGTACTTGTTCTGACACTCTTAGGACGGTTTCCACTTGGCAAGAGCTGTCTGCCAGAGTGATGGCGCAGTGAAGACGCCACCTGCAACTCAGTGCCAAGTGGGAGATGAAATTGCTCCGTAGCGGACTGAAAATTGTTGCATGCGCCTGTGTAGCCTCAGATACGACCTCGAGCCAGACATATTTCTATCATGTCTTAATTCCATACACATTTTAGAAATTGTTCACTGGTTTTAGTATCCAATTAAACTTCTATCATGATACTGATTCCCTCCCCAAGTCCTCTAAGGGTTCCTGAGTGAGCCTGTCAGTTCTAGTCTAAATTATTTTTTGAGTCCGAGTTGCTTCTGTAAATCCCATTTGCAAAATAACAACGATCCTAGTTCGCTCGCTGGGAATTTGCACGTTCCTATTGCAGTGGCCTGCGTGGAATGTTTGTTTAGCGCAGAGTGCAGTCCAGGGTCAGCACTAAATAATGTCGCCCGTTATTACTGTTATTGGTCTTCGTTGTTGTTGTTGAAGCTCCCAAACACCCGGAGCAGGCTGGGCTCCGTGCCCGGCTTGTTGCAGTTTCTCCAGTAACAGGACTTGCTCGAGTAGCACCAAACTGCCGCCGAGGCCTCAGAGCCAGGTTTTGTTCTGAAGATTCTCTCTGCTTTCAGTCTCGGCCCCACGCTGGAACCCGAGCAAGTGGTCAGGAAGCTCATGCATGGGATCCTGACGGAGCAGAAAATGATTTTCGTTCCCTCTTCTCTGAGCGTGTTAACAGCGATAGAAAAGTAAGTGGCACATTGGTCGGCGTCATCTGTTTCATGGTTTTCACTCAGATGCAAAACCTGACATTCGCCAAAGTACAATAAAATGAAATTAAAGAAAAAGAATGGGCTTTACAAATCCAGCTGTTTGGGGGCTGGAGCGACAGCACAGCGGGTAGCGTGTTTGCCTTACACGCGGCCGACCCGGGTTCGATTCTCAGCATCCCATATGGTCCCCCGAGCACCGCCAGGAGTGATTCCTGTGTGCAGAGCCAGGAGTAACCTCTGTGCATCGCCGGGTGTGACTCAAAAGGCAAATAAATAAATAAATAAAGATCCAGCTATTTGGGGGCTGGAGCGATAGCACAGTGGGTAGGGCGTTTGCCTTGCAAACGCCAAACATGGTGCAGTCTCTCCAGCCCCCTCGTTTGATTGTTTGGGGCCACACCCAGCTGTGCTCAGGACCTGTTCCTGGCTCTGTGCTCAGGGTTCACTCCCGGCAGCCTGGGGGACCATCTGGGGTGCCGGGGATCGACCCGAGTTGGCCGTGTGCCAGGCAAATGCCCTCCCTGCTGTCCTCTTGCTCTGACCCCATTTCTAAAAGACTCATCACAGATGAGACCTGGGATAGTTTGTGTGTGTGTGTGTGTGTGTGTGTGTGTGTGTGTGTGTGTGTGTTTGCTTTTTGGGTCACACCCGGCGATGCACAGGAGTTACTCCTGGTTCATGCACTCAGGAATTACTCTTGGCGGTGCTCGGGGGACCATATGGGATGCTGGGAATCGAACCCGGGTGGGCCGCGTGCAAGGCAAACACCCTACCCGCTGTGCTATTGCTCCAGCCCCCAGACCTGGGATAGTTTTAAAGCATTTTCACTAACAGAATCATGAGGCAACAGGATGGGAGGGGGCGCTGGTTACGTTTTAGCAGCTCTGAGCTCGGTGCACATTGGTAATGGACCTGGTACTTGGTAAGAGCTGATGCCTGAAACCCAAGATTCTGGTATAGTTGGGCTAGAGCGGAATTTCTAAACCTTCTTTCCCTCTGGGGCCCCCCCATCTGTGAGTTCAAAAAGTGTGGGCGCGCGCCACGTGCCATAGGCTGCCTCCCCACCCTGGACGGCTGACGCCGATGGACGCGTGAAGGAGGGAACAGGGCCCCCAGGCTGCTGGGTGGTCAGTCGCTGTTTATTCCGATCTCCGTCCGTCTCGTCCCAGTCCCACACACCCCATAAACTTCACTCTCCCCCATTCCCGTCTTCCAGCCTTAGTTCTCAAGAGCAATCACCAGGGATTGGGATAGCAGTTCCACCTAGGTGAGGTAGCACAACCAACAGATGAGAGAAAGCCCTTCCTCCCGGGGAAGCTCGGACCAAGTCTCCTCCTGCTAGGAGATCATCCTCTCAAGGGCCGAATTTCATCTCAGTGTATATTTCTCCTTTCCTTAGTCCAAATCCGTTTAAACAGTCATCTTAAATTTACTTAAACTTACTTCTTAATAAGCTTCCTAGGGGCCGGAGCGATAGTACAGCAGGTAGGGCATTTGCCTTGCGCGCGGCTCACCGGGGTTCAGTCCCTGGCATCAATCTCCAGCATCCCCTATGGTTCCCCGAGCATCACCAGAAGTAATTCCTGAGCATAGAGCCAGGAGGAACCCCTGACCATCGGTGGGTGTAACCCAAAAAGCAAAAAATAAAATTAAAAAAGCTTCCTAGTCATTTTGTATGAAGACAGTAAAAGATATATTAAGTTATCTGTATATAAGATATATTAAGACAGTAAGATATATTCAAGAGTGGCTCTCCTGGAAACACCTCACCGTATATCCCAGACTTCAGTCCTCGGGCCAGATCAGTCCTTCCTAACCCCACCAGGGTCCTTATCCACTTACTTCTTTTTGGGTTGTGACAGAGTTAGTCGATGAGTGTGCTCTTAACTTAGTATAAGTTTTATGACTCTTGGTTTGTCCCGTTTTGATGCCAGGGTAGCTTACAGCTTTCCCTGGGTCCACCCAGTCCCATTGTCAGGACCTTCCTCTTGGGGTGCTCAGAACTAAGGGCAACTGAGGCTTAAGTCAAATAAGTATTATTCAGAGTCAACGCTCAAGTAGCAAGAGCTCTGTCTCTCTGTCTCTCCTCTCTGTCTCTTCCTCCTTGTCTCTCTTTCTGTCTCTGTCTATCTGCCTTCCTCCCTTCGTCTGTTCTACATCTTAAATTTCTTTAAAATTTTGCTTAGTTTAATTAAATAGTTTAAATTTCTTTAACTATTTTGCTTTACAAAAAAAAAAAAGCTTGGATATAATGCAGGATAAATATCAAATATTATGTCTGGTCATGAGTTCAAAGCCCTGGTGTCCCACGTGAGCCCAACACTTGTGCACATGCTATAATATAATAATATTAATAATATGTGCTATTAAATAGTCATTTAAATGTAATATTAATTTGTAATTGTTATCTTGATTTTTTTTTTCATTTTTCTGTCTTCTAGGCTTCTTCCTGAGCGATTCCTGTCAACTCTGAAAAGAAAGCTCAATGTTCGGTTTGATGCAGTGATCGGCTATAAGCCAAAAGAACAATAAGTGTTTGTCTTTGTTAAAACACTAATCTACCAGATGTAAAATTATTTCATTCAAATCAAAAGCAATCTTTGGTTTTTCAGATTTGCTTTTCTTAATTTTTATCACTTTTCTTCAGTCTCCTCTTTGGGGGATGTGGGCAGTCATCATTTATTACTATTTGTTCATCAGCTGAAAACTAATAAAGAGAGAGCAATGTTAGGAAGCACCTTTACAGAAACAGAGAAAAAAAAGGACAAAACGGTTTTGTAATAATTTCTATGCGTTTGTGGCTCACCTGAGGGCTTTACAAATTTTGTACGTAGCTTCAGAGATATTTTTATTTTCAATGACACTTAAACTTTTTTTATAATCTACCTTTCCTTTTCTAGTCCATATAGAATGTAAACTTCGTCATGTCTAGGGAGAGTAAAGGGCTCTGCTGGTGGCGTCTCACAGTAAATACCTGTGCCCTGAGAAACGGCCCTGGGTTCCCCGTCCTCTGCACGACCGTCTGCTTCTGGGGTCCCCTCCCGTCACACAGTTACCAGAGATGGGAACACGATGCAAAGATCAGAGCATCGCCTGAGCTGAAAGCAGCCTTGGGAGACGGGCCAGAGGTGACGAGAATAATAAATGGACCAAAGCTAAACTCTGTGTTCCCGCCCGTTTGTCTGCAGTGGGACGTGCCTCCAGCTGGGGGGGTGGGGGGAGGATGTGCTAGGCAGCGAGAAGTCTGTATTGGATGGTGTTGTCACTGTGTTGACCAGGGAGTGGGACCAGTGCCCAGCCATGTGGGGCCGTGTGGTGCTGGGCTCTCACCCAGGCCTCCTGGAGGCCGGTCCTTTGCTCCTGACCGCACCCGTCTATAGGTTCTCGGTGTCTGAAAACGCCTTGGGTATCAGTGAGATGATTCTGGAACACCAGACCTAGAAGTGGAAAATAAGAAGATTCACTGGGTTTCCTAGAGAAAACTATTTTCTGAGATGGATGTTGGGCACATACTAAGTAAAGAGGCGAAAGTGCTGCTCATGTGCATGTCCATGCGTGTGTGTGTGTGTGCGCGCTCACACACGTGTGGGGAGGGTATGCATGTGTGTGAGCGCAGATACGTGTGTGTGCATGTGTGTGTGTGCTAGTCCTGGGGCCACCCCGGCACTTCTGAGACCTGCAGGGCTGCACCCGGTGACACTGGGCGGGGAGTGATGACCCTGCCGGCCTGTGCCGTAGCCTCTGCCTCTGTCCCCAGCACTCCCCCCTCTCCCTAATCCTTCTCCTCTGGTACGGCACCCTCCTGGAGGGGCTCCTGAGCTGTCCCAGGCCCAGTCGGTGGTGCTGCTACAGGCATCAGGGGGCCCCCTGCCCATGGCATCCACCTGGCCAATTGTGGTGCAGTTCTGGCCTCTCCTGGCTCCACTGAGACTCTTCCAGGCTGGCTTCCGGAAACACTCTCCAGCCAGGGCAGGAGTGCAGTGGGGAGGGGCCTTCTTGCTCTTTCCCGCGGTAGACCTGGGTTCAAGCCCCGCTCTCCAGGAGTCAGCCCTGAGCACTGCCAAGTGTGGCCTAGATACAAAACAGAGGCACTGATGCCGCTACCCTTCTCACTGGCCACAAGCACACTAGTGGAGGTGAGGAGCAGAAGGAAGCGGGGCAGGGGTGAGGGTCACAGGGCAGGGGGGCAGGGGTGAGGTCAGAGGAAGGGAAGAGGGGTTGGGTCAGAGGAAGGGCTAGGGGTGACGGTTCGAGGGAAGGGGCAGGGGTGAGGGGCAGAGGGAAGGTTGATCCCTGCTGCATCCTCAGTGCCGTCATGGCTAGTAAGGAAACCATCACTGCCCGGGATTTCGATGTGGGGACGGTGAGTGTAGCCTCCTAGCCCAGGCTGAACAACAACGTTTCCTTCCTTGGACAGTTCTGTCTAGTGACAGCACCGCTAGCTCCATTTCATGAGGGTAAAACTAAAGTCCAGAGAGGCTGGACACGCTTGCTAAGGTCACGCAGCTACCTGGAGGTCTGGCCGGAGGTCTGAACCGACCAGCCGGCCTCACTCTCGGCGTCTGTCACTAAGGTCTTCCCGGGGCTTCCCAAACCTTGGTCCTGTCGGCACTCAACACAGTTTGGTCCGTTTCTTCTCTCTCCTCACTCTGTCCCCGCATGGGCACGGTGATGGCTTTATGCGGCTCTCCGGCCAAAGCGATTGCTGATGTCTTAGCTGAGGACCCCACATCTTTGTCTTTGGACCCAAGATGCAAAAAGACAACATCCGGACGCTTTATTGGATGAAAACGCAGATGAAAATCAGTACAGATGGCCTTCGGGTTCCAAAGGGCTTTTAATAAAATAAGCAGCTGCGTATTAAAAATAAGAGCATGACAGAATAGGCTGGATCCGAGAACGGGTCTCTGAAGCCAGCCAACATCTCACATTACTGACATCCGCTTAGTTTCCCCGCCTGGGGAGTTTCTTTTTCTTTCTCCTCTACTTTCCAACAAACTTTCCTACCTTTCAACTGAGTCTGAGCATCGTTTTTTTTTGTTTGTTTGTTTGTTTGTTTTTTTTGCTTTTTGGGTCACACCCAGCGATGCACAGGGGTCACTCCTGGCTCTGCACTCAGGAATTATCCCTGGCGGTGCTCAGGGGACCATATGGGATGCTGGGAATCGAACCCGGGTTGGCTGCATGCAAGGCAAATGCCCTACCCGCTGTGCTATTGTTCCAGCCCGAGTCTGAGCATCTTTATTACACAATATATCTTTTTTAATTTTTATTGCGAGCGAGATACTCTCGGTAGCTTGCCGGGCTCTCCAAGAGGGGGGGAGGAATCGAACTCGGGTCGGCCATGTTGGCTGCGTGCAAGGCAAACGACCTACCGCTGTGCTATCGCTCCAGCCTGCACGGCAGAGCCTGGCAAGCTACCCGTGATGTATTCGATATGCCAAACACAGTAACAACAAGTCTCACGATGGAGACGTTACTGGGCCCGCTCGAGCAAATCGATGAACAACGGGAGGACAGTGACAGTGAATTTTTATTAGTGAAACACCATGAGGTACAGTTGTAGACTTACAAATTTTTGTGCTTCGGTTTCAATTATACAATGATCAAGTACCCATCCCTCCACCAGTGCCCATTTTCCACCACCACGGATCCCAGTATCCCTCCCACCCCCCATCCCCCCCCCATCCTCCCCTGCTTCTGTGGCAGGGCATTCCCTTTTGTTCTCTCTCCTTTTGGGTCCTGTGGTTTGCAAGAGAGGCCTTGAGTGGCAATCATGTTCGGTCTAGAGTCTACTTTCAGCATGCTTCTCCCATCCTTATAGATGCTTCCTATCTGAGCTCCCTTTTCCCCTAGAGTGTGTGGCTGGCCTCCAAGCCATGGAGCAAACCTCCTGGTACTAATCTCAGCTATTCTTGGGTGTTAGTCTCCCATTTTGTTGCTTTATGTTCCCCAGATGAATGCAATCTTTCTATGTCTATCCCTCTCTTTCTGACTCATTTCGCTTAGCATGATACTTTCCATATTGTACCACTTATATGTAAATTTTATGACTTCATCTTTTCTAGCAGCTGCATAGTACTCCATCATGTAGATGTACCAAAGTTTCTTTAACCAGTCATCTGTTCTCGGGCACTCAGGGTTTTTTTCCAGATTCTGGCTATTGCAAAGAGTGCTGCAATGAACAAACAAGTGCAGATGTCACTTCAACTATACTTTTTTGCCTCTCTGGGATATATTCCCAGGAGTGGTATTTCTAGGTCAAATGGGAGCCCAGTTTCTAATTTTTGAAGAATAGTTCATACTGTTTTTCAAAAGGGCTGAACCAGTCGGCATTCCCACCAGCAGTGAAGGAGGGTCCCTTTCTTGCCACATCTACGCCAGCACCAATTGTTTTTGTTCTTTTGGATGGGGGGCAGTCTCTGTGCTGTGAGATGATATCTCATTGTGGTTTTGATCTGCATCTCCCTGATGATTAATAATGTAGAGCATTTTCTCATGTGCCTTTTTGCCATTCGGATTTCTTCTTTGAGAAAGTTTCTGTTCATTTCATTGCCCCATTTTTGATGGGGTTGGATGTTTTCTTCTTGTGGAGTTCAACCAGTACTTTATATATCCTTGATATCAACCCCTTGTCAGATGTGTATTCGGCGAATATCCTTTCCAATTCTGTAGTCTGTCTTTGTATTTTGGTCACTGTTTCTTTGGAGGTGCAGAAGCTTCTTAGTTTAAGATAGTCCCATTTATCTATCTCTGTTTTCACTTGCTCGGCCAGTGGCGTGGCATCTTTGAAGATACCATTAGCTTCAATGTCATGGAGGGTTTTGCCAACTTTGTCTTCAATGTACCTTATGGATTCTGGCCTGATGTTGAGGTCTTTATTGTACATGGTATTACACAATATTTTCATTCTTGAAAATGTTGAAGAACCTGGGAACTGGGAACAAACACAGAGATGCGCCCTCACCATTCCCGCATCCTCTGCGTCAATCCAGCCCAGTCATGCCAGCCCTTGGCATCTATCCCCAAGGCACAAAAACGTTCATTTGAAGGGATAATGCACACATATGCTCATGGCAGCGCTTCATACAATAGCTGATTGATTACTTATTAGGCTTTCCTAGATTAACATTCTCGTTCCTGATGTTCCATTCACTCTCAACGGAACGAACATCTCTGAATGTAACGGTTATGTGTACTAGGTCAAGAAGTCAACATGATGGGGGGTGGGGGGTTTGGTGCCGCCAGCAGGTCAATCTGTAACTGTGAGGCAAGTGCATTAGCAGCCTGATGGCGCCTTCAAACTTCCAGATATCCCAAAATTGCTGCTGTGCCTTTGGCCAGACCCAAAAAACTTGGGGCAAAGTTTACCATGAAAGTAAACGGCCAAAAGTTAGGTATGTGGGAGACACACCCACAAACCACCTCCGGCTCAGCTATATGCTTGGAGACATGGCCTCTCTGGTTCCTGATCAAACTGCTTAATGGCCATGACCCCAGAGACTCAGAAACGAATCTCGGAACCCAGCGGCTTTAGGTAGAAATGCGTCCGGTCCCTGCAGTAGGCTACCGGTGCTGGGCCAACCCAGGTGGGAATAGGTTTTGTGCCTTGGCCTGTTCCCCCTGGTGGCCCAGTGGCCGCCATCCATCTGAGGCCACTGGAGAGTCACATTTGGGCCCCCAGTGATGAGACACACAGGGCCTCACGGGATGGGGGTGGAGCCGGTCCTGTCCTCCTCGTCCCAACGAGACCCCAAGTCATCACCCACAAGGAGTGGTTCCTCTGTACAGAGCCAGGAGTAACCCCTGAGAATCCCTGGGTATGACCCAAAAAGCAAAGGGGAAAAAAAAAAGAAAGAAAAGAAAATGTTGCCTGTGCAAGAAATTTTCTTATCTGTGATTGAAATTTTATTGTGGGGAAGGGGGTGATGAGCTCAGGGGCACTAAAAATCAGACCCGGGCCCTTTTCCACACGAAACAATAGTTCCCACTGAGCTACATCCAAATCCCCACTTACGTGGCTGTTTATAGCTACTACGTTCAGAATTATCTGCAACGCAAGCTTAATATTTATAAATAGAAGTATTCTTTAACTAGAATTAACCCCGTGTCTTCAAAGAAAATAAACTGCTTTAGGAGCTGGCAAATTGCTCCCAGGAG